ATAGGGAAGGCATTATCCTTCAACTTGAGAGAAGCACTTTTTTTGTTCGAAGAGGTTAGTTGCAGAGGCTTCTTAGTAGCCTTAAGATTGATGCCCTTGCTCGAAATTGGGTTCTGATCCCCCTCTGCTTTCTTTTTCTGTGACCGTTGGCGGGCTGAAGGTGTGTTTGAATTTGGATCGACATTCTCCTTCTGACCAGGGACCGGATGTGAGACTGAGATGATGTGGATTTTGGTGTTGTTAGGTCCCTCTACTGGATTTGAGGCCTTGAAGCTCTGGACATCAGAAGAAATTTGGGCCGAGCTTGAGGCTTGGACCACCAGATTTTGGCCCAGGTTTCCTTGTTTTTCCTTCGGGTCCACCACCCTCCATTCCAAAGAGCCGTTGCTCTTCTTCTTCCCGTTAACAACCTTCCCTTCATAAGCTACTTCTTTCCCTTTTTCTTTTTTTGGAGCCGTTTGCTGAATCTTCTTTTGCTCATCTCTTATTTCCTTCTTTCCTTTATACACAGCACCCTCACCTTCCCTATTGGTCTCAGACTTTCCTTTCTTAATACCAATCCGTCCTGAATCTCCGTTTGCTCCTAAAGGAAAGTTGATTTGATTTCCCGATTTTGCTGTTGACTGCTTGGAGCGGCGCGATTTGCGGGTAACCTGCATCCAAGGGCCATACCCGGAGGGTGGTTCCGGCGAGGAAGCGATCGGCAAAGTTACCGGAGAAGCTGCCAGCTCATTGCTATTCGGGATCGTGACCAGAGCAAATTGATTCATTTCCTGGCGATTGGGGCAGAGGTCCTCCGTGTGCCCAATTTTTCCACATTCATAGCAAATTTGGGGAAGATTTTCGTATAGAACCTGCTGCCAAGCGCCGTCCAGGTAGATCCTCGTCGGCAACGGCTTTGTCATGTCGAGCTCTATAGCAATTCTGGCAAATTTTCCCCTTTGAAGAGTTTCAGTGTGGTAGTCTAGCTTCACTGTTCTGCCAACCAGATTTCCAATTGCAAATAAAACCTCTCTGTGGTAAAAGTGAACCGGTAAATCGGGGAACTGAACCCATGCCACAACCGATCGATGCGGCTTATCTGTTGATCGGAAATGTGGCGTCCACTGATGAACTAAAAGATAGTGATCTAGAATCACCCAAGGCCCACCAGTGATCGCTGATAGATAGTCTTGATCGTTGCTAAAGGTAACCAAAAAGGTTTCGTTGTTAAGGTCCATGATATCCATGGTCCCTGTTGGCCTCCATTTCCACCGAAGTTGAGAGCAGAGATAATTATATGAGATCGAGCGTCCCAAGAGCCTTACCACCAAAGTTTTCTTCCAGGGATCACACAGTTTTTCTTTGAATCTTGGAGAGAAATTGAGAGCCGGCTCCCCATTGAAAGTCCCTACTTTCATGTCGTGTTCCCCCACAAAAGTCCATTGACAGGCCTTCGGAATCGCCGGTGACGTTTGACCTGCTAGCACGTTCCTATAAGAGATAGGTGTACCTTGATCTGTGGCTGTGGGTAAAGGCGAGGAGGAGGACTGAATATTTGGGTCTGGAGGTTTCCCCGGCGGCGGTGTATCCGACGATGTCGAACCAGCGTTGTCCGGAGTACTTGAGAGCATTTCAGAGCGGATGGTTATAAATCTCTTTGTTCAATTTGTTATAAAGTTACAACTCTTATTATTTGAGATATTCATCTCGACCAAACCCACATTAAATATGGTACCTGATGGGTACACATTAGGGTTTTGGAGGCCGACACATGATAGATCATTAGTATTATGGGCTTGGATCATTAGAGGGTCATTAGTCAATTATAGTAGAGTAGTAGGGTTGGGTCATTAGTGGGTTACGTAGATGTCGAGTTCGGCTAGGGCTAGGGTAGGGTTTTGCATCTATACAGTGGCGGAGCCAAAAAATTGGCTAAGGGGTGCTTCTTCATGTCATGAAAAAGTCAACTATGTAATAGAAAAGTCAACTCTAAACGAAAATATGAAAATCAACTTCATTATATGACTAATTCAGTCTATGTACTTAATTTGGAGATGAAATTGAGTATAACAAACACACAAACCTAACCCTAAATTAACACAAATAATAAAATTTTCAAGTAATTGAAATTAAAACTTAGATTTTACCTTGTTGTTAAAGATTGATGATGTCAAAAAAAGTAATTTTGTGTTGCTGGCTTGTTGCTCCCCTACCCTGCTCACGATTGAAAAGAGAAGGATTTTTGGAGGTGAAGGACGGAGAACGAAAGTCTGGAGCCTAGAAATAGTTTGGATTTGTTGGGTAGGAGCCGGAAATATGGGTGGTGGGTGGAGGTTCGACGAGCTTGGAGCCGGAGATTGAGAGCTTGGGGGCTGGAGGATGGATAGCTTGGAGGTTGGGCGAGCTCGGCTTGCAACTCACAGCGCCTCTGCTACTGTTGGGTGGAGGAAGAACGAAATTGTAACTGGGGATTGCTAGGATAGTAGATTAGAGTTTTGCGTTTTGATATTAGGACAGATAATTAACATTGATATAATTAAACATGTATGTATTATAAATGAAAAACTCTTAGTCGAGATGATAAAGATTTCTCATTGACAACCACTAAATTAGTGGTTCGATCCTTGCTTCCTACTACATATATTGGATTTTTTTTCCGTCCAAAGCCAAGGGGGGTGCATGCACCCCCCTCAAGTGTGCACAGCTCCGCCACTGCATCTATATATTTGTATGTTCGGCATTAGTTCGGGTTATCGAATAATAAAACTAAAGGTTTATCTAAGCCCAAATCGTTCTCCCGTTCGTGAGTTACGAGCAAACCTTTGGAAAGTGGGTTACGTTCCCATCAGTACCCATCCTATCAAAAGAAACACCATTATTTTTCTACCAGAAAAAAACTCCAATATTACATAATAAGATCAACCATGCAAATATGTATTAAAAATGGGTGGATATATATACCTCATATTATAATTCAAACTCTTTATATTGTCACACAAACTTCGATAGTAAAGCTCACAGTCGAGTAACTCAACCGGGAGGGATTCGTTAAGGGCATGAGGTTGTGTCCTCTACTCAGTCAGGAAATCAGCCATGTGATTGCTTACAAAGTAACAGAGTTAAACTCATATATCGTTTCTACTTGAAAGTATTCAAATCTGAGATCCTCCAGTTCAAACTTAATTAGTGATATTATCACCAGACAAAACTCAAAACTCTCGTTCATTTGTAATTTTAATTATTTGGTTAACTATTGTGCATGATTACGTTGAACTTGAACATCAGTGGGTAGGGTTTAACCTATACTAATTCTGCCACTTTGGGTGCTGCTTCCACTAATTCCATTCCTGTCGTTACTTTCTTCTTAGCACTTCTGTTCGGGTAATTATAATCTTTCTTATTAACTATTTATCGACAAGAGAATTCATCTATCATGGAAAAATAAGTGGATGCTTCAGGGTAGCAGCTCGTGTATAAGGGCTGCATTGCCATGGATAATGGAATTGGATTCGAGAGTTGAAAGAGATCAAGTGATTCAAATTGGTTACTTAAATTATGCATATATTTCATTATCATTTCGACTTAAATTTGTAATTTATAGAATAATAATATTCATTTTGATATATGTTTGGAGAAAATTAGGTATATCATTGTGGTATGTAACTCGATCATGGTGGCATGACTTAAATCACGCATGTGCCACCAAGTATAAATTATACTTATAAATATCCAATGAGGTACATTCATAAAACTCCGAATTATTTTGGATAGAATAATGAATATGCACTGTGATCCTTCTACAAGTGGAGTAAACAGAGAGCTGGAAGATATTGTTCAAATGGGTCGGAAATTGAAGTATTGTCATTTTTTTGGTTGATTTTTATTATTTTTTGTACTTAATTTATGATAAACAAAGTTGTTTAGGGGAATGGTTACAATCAAAAAAAATTTTGTATTTAAACTAGAATGGATCCATCCAATGTGGTTTATAGTTAAAATCATATCTAATCCAATTCAGTTTACGGTTTGTGATTTGATAAAAATCTAACCCAATTAATTGAGTGAATTCGTACAATTTTAACCATTTCCCTGTCATACTTGATAATTAAAAGGGTTAATAGAACTGCTCACCTAGTGAAAAATATATTGTTTAATCATGTTTGTTGAGGATATGGCGCTGTTAAGCGCATAACGGCACCATCCGTAAGAACCCAGAGCACCAACGAAGAGTTGAACCCACGAGCGGAAGGCATAAGGTGGTCAGAAGAGACACTCGTGAAACAGGACTCCCACGACGTCATAGGTGCCCTGACACACATTCATTTCCCAAGCATGGGTTTAGCCAGAGCCTACACCCCAGTCTTATCTAGTGTCACATCGCATTTAAAGTTCGCCCATTAAAATGGAGGCTATAAATATAACATTTACTCCAATGAGTGGGAGATCGTTTTTTTTTTAGCTTCTCACGAGCTCTTGGACTTTCTCCCACTAAATTTTCTCTCTACTCTCCTTATAAGGACAAACTTATCATTAAGCTGAATATATTGCACACAACCACTCGCGACCCGCATTCTAGTGTCTCACTCCTACACTCTGTTAGGCACTTACAAATCTATACATCCTTCAACAAATGGTACTTAATGAGTACTCTTTATTTCAGACTCCTTTATGAAGTAGCTTTGGGGAAAAAAAAAAAAAACAACACAACATATGATATGCTTTTACTTTTGTAGAACCTAACATTGGAGAGGGACCCTTCCAAATTCCAATAACGTTACAACGTAGCTCTCTCCTGACTACGTACTGAATATAATTATAATACCTTCATTTATGTAAACCATTATATATGATGATACCATAAAAAGAAAGAACATTTTTGGTAAGCATACTAGGCTGTAGCTAGAGCCACCGTAAATATGGCCGGAGGAGGAGAAGGAGGAGGAGGAGGTTCCATGACGTCGACGTCGAGGTGGTGCAACGACACTACGAAGGCGTACGGAGCCGTGGTATTAATACGGATGATCTACGCCGGAATGATTCTCCTCTCCAAGGCGGCGTTCGACGGCGGCTTGAACACTTCCATCTTCGTCTTCTACCGTCAAGCCTTCGCCACCGTTGTCATTGCTCCCATTGCCTTCTTCCTCGAGTGGTACTCTCTTGATTTCTCTAAATATTCGCCTACTCGAAAATGAATAAACCAATTAGTCTTAATTACTCGGACGTTTGGAAAAAGGTTTGTTACTTTTTTTTTAATCTCTTGCACGTCAACTCCAACGAAAACCTACTTGTGGATTTTTCATTAATTTTTCAGTTTACACAAGTTGGCCATATCATCCATTGAGCTATATCATTGTTCATATTGTGGGTCGTCATGAAGATTTAAAACCATCATCCTTCGATCGAAAACTCTGATATCATGTCAACGAACAAACTAGTTAGCTCGAATATTGAAATTGAATTTGTTAAGTTTTTATTTAATACACAACGTGAAATTTTGCAATCTTTCATGAATTCAGTTAAGTTAATACCTTCTTTTTTTTCTCTTGTATAAATTTTATTCCAATATTCCCCGGCCGGCGGCGAACAGGAAGCACGCGCCGCCGCTTTCTCTCCCCACCTTCTGCAAGATTTTCGTCCTCTGCTTCTGCGGGTAATAACATAACTCAACAAAGATTCCTCACCTCCACGAATTTTTGTTTTATTCTGTATTTGATTAATAAATTAGTTTAATTCGATTACTGATGATCAATCAGACCGCAAAACCAATATTATTTTTCTCTTAAATTAAAATACTTTAGTGGAGTATTATTGTGCAGGATGACGTTGAACTTGAACCTCAATGGAGTGGCTTTAAAGTATACTTCTGCCACTTTGGCTGCTGCTTCCACTAATTCAATTCCAGTCATCACTTTCTTCTTGGCTCTTCTACTCGGGTAATTATATATCTACGAATTAATGTAGTTTGTTGCAAGATATTTAATTTATCTATTGTGAAGGGTGAGTGCATGTTTTATGGAAATAGTTTTTCGCAACAACTCGACTTAGTGAGATTGAGTTATTCTTAACATGGTGTCATAATCTTCAATAACTAAGATGCTTTGTGTTCGAATACAGATAACCTCATTTGTTTTCAGTACATGTGGTATTTGTAATTGTGGAAACTTAAGGCACATATAAGTTGGCTCTCTTTCAACATGTATAAGAAATAACTCGATCTATTAATACTAATTGGCTCTTGACATGCATGACAATAATGCATAATTGAGTTGCTACAAGAGTTATAAGAAGATCAAGTGATCTTTTCCAAAGAGTGAATTTTATTAGTATAATGTTTAAGTAATTTTTTTATGTGGTATGAATTTATTAAGCGATAAGGAAAGCATAATTTTTCCTAAATATAAGGGGTCGTTTGGAAGTTGCAATTGTTAAATAGATGTATTGTTGAGAATGCATGTATAATATTATACATGTATTGTTGAATTTGATGCATTGTAGAATACAACGTTTAGTATGTGTGATTGTGTATGTCGCATTAGCCAAAAGCCGAGACAAAACAATCCCAACTCAACTATCTCAACAATCACAACTAAGTTGAGATATAACAATCACTCAAAATGAGTGATAGTTTCTGTCACATCACAGAAACAATACATGTATTGTTTCTGCTAAAAAAACAAAAAAACAATGCATTGTAAACAATACATGAATAATGACAATCTCAACAAAACAATCGCAACTTCCAAACGACCCCTAAGTATCTCTCTTTGTCTCTTGGCTAATCACCTCCCTCCTCTCTTGGCTAATCTCATCCCCAATATCTATCACATCCCTAGTCCCAATTCAATTCCAAAAATCGCAACACTAGACGGAAACTCCTGGATCCATGTTTCTTACTTAGTTATGATAAGATTTGGTGTTATTGTACATTTTTTTTACATATGTTGCCAAACGTTAGATACAACATAACGTTAGTGCTATAAATCGAAAATACCTAATTTGCCCTATAAATTGTACAAATCCACACAGAATGGAAACATTGAAGGTGAGGACAAGAACTGGAGTGGCAAAACTAGTAGAGGTAGTGATATGCTTGGGAGGAGTTGCAACTCTAGCATTCTACAAAGGCCCCCATTTCAAGTTCTTGTGTTTCTTCAAACACCTCCTCAAAGGCCAAAACCAACATCCTGCTACTAGTAGTTCTTCTCATAAATCATGGGCCAAAGGTTGTTTCTTGATGCTCTCCTCCAACTTCACATGGAGCATTTGGCTCGTCTTTCAGGTACCAATTTTTGATGAGGTCTAGGTTGGGAGAAAGATTGCCTAGCTAGCTGTAGATCTAACTGAATCGATCTCCTCTTCCTGTTTCATTGATCATTTGGGTGTTGCAGACAATCATTATGAAGAGCTACCCATCAAAGCTCATGTTCACAGCTCTGCAATGCCTTCAGAGTTCGATCCAGTCACTAGTGGTTGCAGTTGCAGTTGAGAGAGATCTGGAGGAGTGGAAGCTTGGATGGAATATGAGACTTCTGGCCGTGACTTATTGTGTAATTGCCTGTATTTGGCTCGACTTTTAAAAATCGTTTCTCTGCTTCAAAAGTTAAAGTTGGGGTCAAACACCTCTATAAGTTCGATTTTTGAAAAAGCTGAAAAAGTGCTTAGAGTTTTTGCAAAAAGTAGTTTTGAAAATAAAGGAATATCCTCATAATATTTTTTCAAAAGGATACTTTTATTTCAGATAAATTAGGAAACAATATCATTTAATATAAAATAAATTTAACTATATCTGGTTTGATTACATTTTAATTCTTATTTTGTATTATAACTCTTTTTTAGTCACTTTACATGACTTCTTGTATTAAAAAATATTTCTAATAATTTTCCATCCAAACTGTCAACTCAAAAGTACTTTCCCTAACAATTTTCCAGCCAAACCGTCAATTGTTTTATTCTCAAAAGTACTTTTCCAAAAGTTCTAACCGAAAATTGCAACACACAAAAGTTTTTTCTTCTTAAAAGTACTTTCCCAAAAGCTCTTAATTTAGCTTTTATCAGTCTGTCTTCAATTTGCTAATGTGTATCCAATTTATGATTTGTGTAGGGAGTCGTGGTGAATGGAGTGACATATTACTTGCTAGCATGGGTTTTGGAGAAGAAAGGACCAGTCTTTGTAGTAATTACGACTCCTTTGACGTTCATCTTTACAATGTTGTGTTCTGCACTACTATGCTACTCCATCCCCCTTGGAAGGTATTTTTTCTTTTATTTTGGAAACATCGGGGATGTCCCTCTATTATGCACACTTGTATCAAACATGCACATCTACTATTTTTTACATAGAAAATACCACAGACCACAATAGTTTAGAAACATTATCAAACAGTTCTCTCTATTAAAGTTTCCATCCAAAATCTGTTAATTGCGTTGAGCTGTGATTTGGACGACATAGATGTCTAACATATTTCTAATAGTTTCACTTTAACATTTTTTAGGTTCTTTTAGATAGCTCAATACCCTTAATAATTTTACTTTAACGAGACATGTTTGATAAAACCTGCACAGTAGAAGGACATATTATACATATAACTCTTATCGGAATCCAAATGAAGAAGTCTTGAGTTGAATCCGATTTATGAAAACTTGACGTTGTTGGCCAATACATGTTTGCTTGAATATTGTGGCGTCTGACTATGAACTCCTCTCCAACTTATAATTTTTGTATTTGTTGGGATGAATAGGTTATGGACAATCAATATCATGAAATAGTATGACGACCTATTTGTATCCCCTTTTTTGTTTCCTTGATTATGTACATGCACTCTAGTGTATTGGGTGCAATGCTGTTGGTTGGAGGGCTCTACAGTGTCTTATGGGCAAAAGGCAAAGAGGGGAAGATTAAAATGGAGATCAATGAGAAGAAGATGATTCCACAAGAGGGAAATGGCAACTGTTCAGAGCTTACTCAAGCTCAAGAAGCCAATAACATTGCTGCCATTGTTGTTGTTCATAATTAGCTAGCTAGATGAGGTTGTTTTCGGAAAAATGATAACTAAGGTTATTCCTCAAAGTAACAATTTGTATGTTATATGTCACTTAACTAGATGGCACTTGTTTAGGGGGCGAGACGATGTCTCCCAATTTGCCAATTCAATGCTAAATTCAATTAGTAGTTTGAAAAATACAGATTTGAGAACCAAGTATAAGTAGAGTTGTTAATGAAGTGGGTTTGGGGTTGTTTCCCCAAAACCATTCCAATTCCCATTTATAAAAATTCGTCCCATACCTATGTAGGGAGAGATTTTATGTAACTCAATCTTCATATATACTCGCGTATTTCGGATATCGGGGATAATATCCATCCCGTATAGTAAATCTTGTTATATATAGCATTAATACGATAAAGCTTACTAAATATGTATAGTTTTTGTTGTTGTCGTTTTGATGAATTTTGAACCTGGATAAATGAGCACTAGCGGAAGCAAACCCAATATGAAATCGAACAAGAAAATAGAGAAGAGAATGAACAAATACAAGACACCAAATTTACGTGGAAAACCCTCCAATGAGGAGGGAGAAAAATCACAGGCTGGACAAGCTAGTAAATCCACTATGATCAAGGAATAATCTTCAACGTACAAAGTTGTGGAGAAAGTAGAAAAATCTCAACATAAAGGAAAAGTACTCAAGAAGATATTCTACACTTTAGAAGAATAAAAGAGTTTTGAAAGAATTGGTGTGTCTATTCAATAACAATAGACTCCCTATTTATAGGCATGTAAAATGGCTTATGAGATGCCAACGAAAAGTGAACGACACTCCCATTAACCAAATGGAAAGTCCACACAATTAATTCCATGTGGTCATTAACTTTAGTGAGCATATCTGCAGGATTGTTGTCAGTATGAACTTTCTTGACACTGATATCACCTGCAACCATAACATCTCGCATGATACATGTCATTTTTAGTCTTCGCACAAAGTGGTACTTGACTGCTATATGTTTTGTCTTCGCATGATACATGTCCTTTTTAGTATTCGCACAAAGTGGAACTTGACTGCTATATGTTTTGCCTTCGCATGATACATGTCATTTTTAGTCAAGTGAATGACACCTTGACTGTCCGAAAATATGGTTGAAACAGTTTGTTCAACTCCAAACTCAATAACTAGACCACGTAACCAAACTGCCTCTTTAACCCCCTCGGAAATAGCAACATACTCTGCTTCTGTAGTTGATAAAGCAGTTACGGGTTGCAAGCAAGATTTTCAGCTAACACATGAATTGCAGAGAGTGAAAACATATCCGGAAAGAGACTCCGATTATCCAAGTCACTTGCAAAATCAGAATCTGTGAAGCCTATAATATTTTTGGAAGAATTTTCACTCCTCAAACAATAGACCCATATCACGGGCTCCCTTCAAATACCGAAGTATCCACTTCACAACATTCCAATGTTCTTTTCCTGGATATTGCATATACCTGCTGACAACACTTACTGCATATGCAAGATCTGGTCTTGTACAAACTATAACATACATGAAACTTCCAACTGCACTCGAATATGGAACGCTAGACATATAATCCACTTCTTCATTTATTGTTGGACAATAAGCAGCAGATAACTTGAAATGAGCAGCGAGAGGAGTAGAAGTGGGCTTACAATCAATCATTCCGAACCTTTCAAGTACCTTATCAATGTACTTCCTTTGGTTCAAAAATAATTTACCAGCTTGTCGATCTCTTTGGATCTGCATACCTAAAATCCTCTTTGCTGCTCCAAGGTCCTTTATCTCAAGTTCTCCTTTTAGTTGTGACTTTAACATATCAACCAACATTCTGTTCTTAGAAGCAATAAGCATGTCATCAACATAAAGAAGTAGATATATGTAGGAGCCCACGAGAAATTTTTGGAAGTATACACAATTATTAATTTGACTTCGTGTATAACCATTTCCAATCATAAAAGTATCAAAACGCTTATACCATTATCTAGGAGCTTGCTTGAGACCATATAATGATTTTCTCAAGCTACAAACCATATGCTCCTTTCCTAGAATCACAAATCCTCTCGTTGCTTCATGTATATCTCCTCCTTGAGATCACCATGAAGGAAAGCAGTTTTCACATCAAATTGCTCTAACTCCAAATCAAAAAAAGCAACAAAAGAGAGCAAAATTCTTATGGAAGTGTGATGCACAACAGGAGAAAAGATTTCATTGAAATCAATACCTTCACGCTGGTTGCAGCCGTGAACAACCAACCGCGTCCTCCACCTTGCCTCTTCCATACCGGGAATTCCTTCTTTCTTTTTGTATATCCACTTAGTTGAAAGTGCTTTCTTACCCGTAGGCAGAATACATAATTCTCATGTATTATTTTTCAACAAACTTTCATTTTCTTCATTCATTACCGCAAGCCATTTAGATGAATCTACACAAGATATAGTTACTTTGAAAGAAGAAGGCTCAATTTCCTCTGAAATTTCTTGTGAATCGGCGAGAGCATATGCAACGGCGAGAGCATATGCAACAAGCTCATCATCTCTGTATCAAGCATGTTTTTGTATAACTCTCCTTGGCCGATCTCGAGCCAAGATATAATCTTGTGGCACTTGAGGTGGCATGTCCTCATTTTGAACTTCACTAGGATTTAACTCTAGAGAAGATAGATGGGTAGGTGAATCAACTTGTTGTTCGAACTCCACCTTGTCTCTTGGAGTCTCAAAATTTTCTGCATCATGGGACGAAGAAGTACCATCTTTGGAAGAAAATAAGGCATCTTCTTTGAATGTAATATCTCTACTTTGAATAACCTTTTGAGATTCAATACAGAAAAAACGATAGCCTTTTGACTCCATAGAAGAACCCAGAAATAAACACCTTTTAGCTCTTTGAGAGAGCTTACCCTCATTGACGTGATAATATGATGGACAACCAAATATTCTTAATTTGGAATAATCAACAGGTTTACCTGTCCAAATTTCTTCTGGAATTTTATAATCCGGTGACTTATGTGGAGAACGATTGATTAGATAACAAGCTATGGCTGCAGTTTCTACCCATAAATCACGTCTATGCCATAAACCTGCATTTGACATCATACACCGAGTCCTTTCGAGAATTATTCTGTTAAGTCTTTCGGTAACACCATTTTGCTGAGGTGTTTTAACTAGAGTTTTGTGTCTTCCGATTCCATGTGAGGAACAAAATTCATTAAACTCATTTTCACATAATTCCAAACCATTGTCAGTTCTAAGTTTCTTAACTTTCCTTCCTGATTGAGTTTCAACTAGCACTTTCCACTTTTTAAATGTCGAGAAAGCTTCATTTTTGTGCCGTAAGAAATAAACCCAAACTTTACGAGAGAAATCATCAATAATTGTCATCATCTATCTACGACCTCCTATGGAAGGAAATTTAGAGGGTCCCCATAAATCCGAGTGAATATAATCAAGCACCCCCTTGGAACTATGGGAAGCAAGAGAGAAACTGACTTTTTTCTTCTTCCCGAAGATACAATGTTCACAAAAGTCAAGTTTCCCAAAATTTGGGTTTCCCAATAGTCCTCTTTTGCTTAGAATTGTCATTGGCTTCTCACCCTTATGTTTTAGCCGCATATGCCATAATGGAGTATTATGCGAATCAGGCAGCGAGGTAGAAATATCTGCTGAATCTGTAACAACAGAACCTTGCAGGACATATATCATACCAATGCGGTTAGCTTTCATCAAAACAAGAGAACCTCTAGACACCTTAAGAACTACACCTTCAGCTCCATATCTGCACTCAAGAGACTCGAGGGTGCCTAAGGAAATAAGGTTTTGCCTCATGTGAGGAACATAACGAACATTAGAAAGAGTTCTGATAACCCCATCATGAAGACGCATTTCAATTGTCCCAATACCAAGAACTTTGCAAGGAACATCATTTCCCATTAGCACAGCACCAGAATTAACAGGTTTAAGGGTTTTTAACCAGTTCTTATTGGGACAAATATGAAAAGTGCATGCAGAATCAAGGACCCAAACATCTGAATTACTACCATCATAAGAAGAAATTGTTGTCAAACCTTCACCATCAGAATCATCGTTGACGATACTAGCTTCTCCGGCTTCGGAAGCCTTTTGTGATTGCTTTTTCTTTTCTTCTTTGGCCTTTAATTTGAAACAGTTAGAAATTTCATGACCAGTTTTGCGACAATAGAGACAATACTTTCCATCATCACATTTTAGACCATGTGACTTGGATCGAGCTTTACCTTTACCTTTGCTGGATTCCCCTTTTTCCTTGGATCTTCCTCTTATAAATAAACCTTCACCTTTGTCATTAGAATTGGACTCAAAGTCAAATTTTTCTTTTGACAGTAAGTTAGATTTTACATCTTCATAAGACAAAGTATCCATATTTCCATAGAGCATAATCTCTTTGAAGTGTTTAAAGGACTAGGGCAATGAACATATTAATAAAACAGCTTTATCCTCATCTTCAATTTTCACGTCAATATTTTCCAAGTTCATAACAATGGAATTGAAGGTAGAAAGATGAGTTTGAATTGGAGTACCTTCAGCCATACGAGTAGTGTACAACTTCTCTTTTAGACGAAGCTTGTTAGCGAGATTTTTCGTCATGTAAAGTGACTCTAATTTTGTCCAAAGTCCAATTGAAGTAGTCTCACTCACCACCTCCTGCAAAACCGATTTTGACATGCATAATTGGATAGCAGTAAGAGCCTTTTCATCGAGCTCTTCCCATTGGACATCAGTCAAGGTCTCTGGTTTGGCTTCGAGACCAAGTAATGTCAAACTTTGCAGTCATCTAGTCAAGGATTTCAATTGGTTGTCAAGGGCTCTAATACCACTTGTTGTCGTTTTGACGAATTTTGAACCTGGATAAATGAGCACTAGCGGAAGCAAACCCAATATGAAATCGAACAAGAAAATAGAGAAGAGAATGAACAAAGACAAGACACCAAATTTACGTGGAAACCCCTCCTAAGAGGAGGGAGAAAAACCACGGGTTGGACAAGCCAGTAAATCCACTATGATCCAGGAATAATCTTCCACGTACAAAGTTGTGGAGTAAATAGAAAACTCCCAACATAAAGGAAAAGTACTCAAGAAGATATTCTACAATTTAGGAGAATAAAAGAGTTGGAAAGAATTGGTGTGTCTATTCAACAACAATAGACTCCCTATTTATAGCCATGTAAAATGGCTTATTAGATGACAACGAAAAGTGAACGGCACTTCCATTAACTAAATGGAAACTCCACACAATTAACTCCATTTGGTCATTAACTTTCATAACCCCAAGTAATCTCAAGTGTCTTCCATAACTCCAAGTCTTGGAGTTAATTTGAAGCATCAATACCAACATTTGTTATAACATCAAACAGAGCTAATAAACCATAAAGTCAAAGCCAGAGAAGATGCAATTAGCCGAAGCCACCATAGGAGAATGGTCTTAAGGTTAGGGATGACAACAAAACCCGAACCCACGGATACCCCTCCAGCCCAACCAGGTCAACGCGGGTAAAATCCGTGTTGACGGGTTTTGGACCGGGTTTGGGTTTAAACCCGTTCACTATTCACCGGGTTGGATTTGGGTTTAGGTAAACCCGACCCATGGGTACCCGCCCACACCCATATAATTAATTTTCTCGTTATATTTAATATTCTAAACAAATAATCTTATTTATGTTTGTGGAGACATGTCAATTATTTTTATAATTGTGTAGAATGAAGTTGATGTTATCGAGTGGAGAGTGAAGAAACTTAATTGAAAGGAAGAAGCTTTCAATTAATCATGTTATTTATGGATAATTTGTGATTTGCTTCAATTTTCTTGAGTTTTCTAGATTGGTGTTGAACAATTTGTATAGTTAATTTGTGAATTGCTTGAATTTTCTAGAATGGTGTTTTTTATATGGATAATTTGTATTGAGAGATTGATATTTCACTTTAATTTTGATATGTAAATTATTTACGACAAAAACCCGTGGGTATCCATGAACCCGCAGATACCCAGCAGGTTGGGTTGGGTTTGAGTTTTTCAAACCCGGTGGGTTTTACCCCGGGTTTTTTTCACGAATAAACCAATGGGTTTGGGTTTGAGTTTAGCAAAACCCGACCCAATCCGACCCATTGCCATCCCTACTTAAGGTTGCAGAAAAGGGAAAACAGAAATTGGAAGCGAGAGAGTAAGCTTAGAGCTTAGTAGTGCTCTGATACCATATACTAGAAAGAGTAGAGTAGAGAATGAAAGTGAGAGAAAAGAAAATTACAGAATAGTACCTATTCCTAATACATGTTAACTATCTAATCCTAACCAATTACCAAATAGTACCAAATCTATGAAAATGTTTCATTCTACTCTCATATCTTGCTCATTAGCAACGCAAACTCTCGTATTTTATGGCAACGCCTTGATAGGGTTTATAAGTGGAGTAGCAGTTGAGGTCATGAGATTCCAAGAGTATGGATTCCAGGGCTGAGTTCTCATCTCATGAAATAATGACTTGACATTTCAAGTGGGTACAACAAGAAGTTGTGCTCAGGAAATGACGTGACCCAACTATATATTTAATTGTCGCGTGGAGCTAGACACAGTGATAAAGTTCTCAATTTATTCTAATTTGTAAGCATAATTTTCGGTGATTTGATTTAGCTGTCAATTGAAACGGAGAATTTTTTTAACTAGCTACTTGTTGGAAGTACCAGTTTGAAACTTTCAAAAAAGTTCGAAGAGTTCGAAGATAAAGTATAAGTTTTAACTTGAAACAGAATGTAAAAGCACTTCGATTGAATCGAAATGGCAAGTTCGTCAGTAGTTACATCATCAGAAGGTTCAACTATTAAGTTTGTTGAGTTATATATACGTATATACATTCATTAAACAGAAAAATTCGACTCCTTATATCATTCTGTATAACAATTTGAACATTCTTCGTGAAGCCGTCATCACCGAGTTGAAACAACGGCTAAATATTTACAATGTTTAGCCCAAACATTTAGATGTTCCAAAGACAAAATCAATGAAAGTACATGCAAAATATATGAAGTTGAAAACTATTAGTCAATCAAAGATCAACTGATACAATTCTTATTATTTATCATTATTACTGATTCTGATTAAACGTGTACTAAAATGTGGCATCCTCGGCTAGACAAAATTCAGATAATAGATAAATAACACAATCAAATTTAAAAAGAAATATGAACAAGGGCATGGTCTAGTAGTTAAATTGTTGGATTTCAACTTGAAGATTCCAAGCTTCAATCTCTTCACTAGCACTTAATATTAAAACTAAACATATATGCATATCACTCTTACTAAATGAAACAGATATAAAATAAAATAGCTCAACACTATTAAAAAAATATAATAATAAACAAAAGATAAACTAAATACTCGCTGCCCAAACCCATCACTTATCATCATTTGGTTGGCATTTGGTAGAAGGAATTTAACCTGGTTGCCCATTTGATGGCACATAAAGTTCTTTCATTGTTTCTTTCTTTAGTTGAGTTCGATTTTACTTCTTGATTGTTTTCGATCATGTGACTCTTTATATCTGACTCTTGGTAAAAATGAAAAATTGGCAATGTCCATCAGAAAAGCACAAAACTAATAAACTATAGTGTATATTGGCACATGTTATTAAGAAATATAATTTTAAATATATATTGTGAATGTCATTCAATCTAATTATTTCATTACCAAAAATCAAGTGGTAATTGTTCACATCAGTGTCAAATCAATTGTTAGGTCAGTAGATCTGATTCTACTACTATTTACTCCACTTTTATTACCACTCATAATAATTTATTTATCCTTTCTATATTCTCGTGTCCCACGTGCCTATATGAAAGGCATCAATTCTATGATTTCTACATACTAAGAATTAAGAAATCAACAAATATAAATACGTACTCTCCTTATTTCTTTCTAATGTATCTTGTTCCTATGGTTCTTCATTTACTATTATTATTAATGTATTGTTACGATCTCATGAGCGATTAAGAAAAATCAGAAAAACATACCACTGTTAGTTTTCTATCTTTTCGATTAACTTACCGCAATAATGCAAATCGATTCAACTCAAATCAACCAGAGTATATCATTAGTGTTTTACGGATTTCATAATTTATTTTAACGGATTTCGATGATGAATTTCCTAAATCAAAATAGGTGATTAAAAAATAGTGAAAACCAACCCACATCCGACCGACATATACGATACACCTCTACCTTCAAGAACAAAAGGTCCACTCCTACCCAACAGGATCTTATCTCCATCAAATTTTTAAGGTAATTAAATACACACATCTGCTTTTATATTTCTATAAACTACATGAGAGGTGGTGGTGGAGTCAAGATTTGAAACTAGCTGTCTTGTTTTCTATTAAAAATATAAACTACTTTAATGAATATTGCATTATTATAGTGCACTAATTTTGTATGACAATTAAATACTCTTATGTCACCTGAAGGTGATGAGATCGACTATTTCATAAGAGTACCTAGGAATTTGGCATAGTAGTAATATCATTAGATTAGAATTTGAAGGTCTCAATTTCGAATATCTTAAATAGTACTTCAATCATAAAAAAATAAAAAACCTATATTACTCTTATCAACAAAAAAAAAGGAGTACTTAGGAAACTTTTAATTTTTTTTTTATCGCAATTTTCCTATGTTCGAGCGAACAAGACTTAGTTCAGTGGTAACACCACTGGTCTTGAACACGTAAATTCTAAATTTGAATATTTTAACTAGCATTTAACTAAAAACAAAACTATATCATCCTTATAAAAAAAATTATCTATGTTCCTTGATAGAGCCAAAATTGTCGTGCTATGATTGAAAGGTTCCCTCTTGACCAGGGGCGGACCTACATGTTGTTAAAGGGTGTCATCCGACACCCCTTCACCCGAAATTTTTTGTGAAGAACCTATATTTTTTTGGTACAAAAAATTTTAATAGGAGATTTCCGACACCACTTTAATAATTATAGTCGATATTCGTTCATTAGGCGACACCCCTCTTCAACAATCCTGTACTATATATATTGCATATAATTTTAGACCATACATATATTACATGACATCCCAAAAACACAAAACCAACAATTTGGTAATCATATAGAAGAGCCGTAAATATGGTCGGAGAAGGAGGAGGAGGTTCTAAGACGACGTCGTCGTCAAGGTGGTGCAACGACAATACGAAGGCTTACGTAGCCGTGTTATTAATACGGCTGATCTACGCCGGAATGTTTCTCCTCTCCAAGGCGGCGTTCGACGGCGGCTTCAACAGTTACATCTTCGTCTTCTACCGGCAAGCCTTCGCCACCGTTGCCCTTGCTCCCCTTGCCTTCTTCCTCGAGTGGTACTCTTAATTTCTCAGAATTCCCATCTCGCTACCTGGACTTCTTAATTCTTTCACGAATTCAGCTTCAGTTGATACTTTATCTTTTTTTTGTAAATTTTGTTCCAATGTATTCCCCGGCCGGCGGCGTACAGGAAGCACGCGCCGCCGCTTTTTCTCCCCACCTTCTGCAAGATTTTCGTCCTCTCGCTCTGCGGGTACTTACATAAACGCATCATATGATTCCTCACCCCATGAATTTTGTTTTATTTGTACTTGTTAATTAGTTCAATTGGATTATTGATAATTAACTTGAACTCGGAATTTAAAACCGTAAGACCTCATACCGACATCATATCAGTATCATCATTATTAATTATTGTTTATTTAATAATATTCATTATATTATGTTTTGTCAAACATAAGAACTCATACCAACATTATATCACTGTCATATCATGATATTATCAATATATTGATATGATGTTTGTATGTGGCATTTCGTATGAAAAAATAATTTGATGACATCATATCATGTCATATTATGATATTATCATTACCACTATCATAACAACATCATACCATTATGATATCATAGCACTGGCGGTTGTATATCGTGATATGACAGTGGATTTGAAAATTTTTTGCTCCAAAACATATCAAAATGGATATCCTCTTGTAATACATAAAAAATTTGATTTTTCTATGCAAAAATTTCTGAAATATAATTTAAACGAATGAGCTAAGGTCCGTTGATTTTTCGTAGGGGATTTGAAAAATTATCTACATTCGAATAATTTGTGGAATATTTGTGCAGGATTACGTTGAGCTTGAACCTCACTGGGGTGGGTTTAAGGTATACTTCTGCCAATTTGGGTGCTGCTTCCAGTAATGCAGTTCCCGTCATCACTTTCTTCGTGGCTCTTCTATTCGGGTAATTAAGCATTTATTCACTAATATTTGGTAGTCGATTTATCTATTGTGGAAATGGTGGTTGCATCGCTATTAGGGTGAGCATCCGATTCGATAAAAATCCGAATTGAATCGGACTCAATCCGAACCAAAACTGAAATAATGATATTCGATTCGGAGTTCGAAATGAAAATTGACATAATTCGAAAATCAGAGTCCTCTCACCGAATTGGGTTTCCAAACCCCAAACCAATGAACCAAAATATGCTATCTGGACCAATAAACTCCCTAGCCCAGTCCTCCAGCAGCCCAACTCTCCTATTTCAAAGACCAGACCCCCACCAGGTCACAACCCTAAGCCCAATCACCTACCAAGCTCCAACCCTATCCTTTATCCCAATTTTCGTCATCCACAGATAGGGGTGTCAGTTTGGATCGGGTTCGGTTACCCAAACCGAAACCCGAAACCGAAAATCACTAAAACCGAACCCGAACCCGATAAGGACTTGCGGGTTCCTGTTACCCAAAACCCGAAAATTCCTTATCGGATTCGGGTTCGGTTAAAGCAAAACCGAAACCCGAACGCCTGAAAATACAGGCTAAGTTCTATTCATTGGAGGTTTTAGCCGGAACCCGAAAAACAGATAAGCAAAACCGAAGCCGAAACCGAAAAACCCGAAACCCAAAACGAACCCGAACCCAAAAAATCAAAAATGTATATAATCGGGTCGGTTTCGGGTAAAACCGAAAAACCGAACCCGAATGGACACCTCTGTCCACAGATACAGCTAACCCCTGGCTCCAGCAACCACCATCTCCATTCCAAAAGAAGATCTCTTCTCTTGCTCACCGACCGCCCACTAGAGTCGACTCCATTTCCCGTCTTTTCGCTCTCTTCTACTCACTGAGACTAATATCAGATTCCCAAATCCAAACATCAAAATCAGTACCGAATATCAAACGAGGATGGAGGAACCCACATACATGTGGAAAAGAGCTTACCCATCTCCACACGCCGAGAGATCTCGTCGTTCCTCCTACCGTCGTTGCCCGCTAGTGTCAATCCACCAAGGGAGAATGAGAAGAACGGATTTGGGGTGAGAGAAAGAGAAGGTAAGAAGAAGTATTGTTTTAGATGGGGGAGCCGGTGACGAAAGGAGCGGAGCGTGACCTCGATAACGGAAGGAACCTGACAACGAATGGAAGAAGAAGGACTCTCCGGAGGAGTCGTCGACGACTGATGGAGCCAGCTCTCTGATGTTGCGGGGGCCGACGGGAGAGGTGGGGGGGGGGGGGGAGGGGGTTACCGGCTCAAACTGAACCAAAAAGATGGTTACTGGTACCCCCATTTCAGTCAAAGTGCAAACTGATTTCGAAACGAATTATATCGCGGTTCGTTCTGGCCAAACCAAAATATAACGCGATTCGGAATAGAAAACCCGCAATCCGATCTTCTCTACGCTGTCACAGCATCACCATACATATGATTATGGGAGTTGCTAATTGTCGCCCTAACTTTATTGTAATCGCCCTAACTTAAAAAGTAAAATGACCTTTTTATCCTTTTGCTTTTAATTCAGCCCCTATATTGCCATCGAACTCCTCTGCTTCCACTCCGTCGACAACTCCTGGCGATGCTCCACCTACCCAAGGGGACGCCTTCTGTGCAGCGCATTCCAAATCCTGCTCTCACCTCTCCGTTCTCCGCTGAGGACAAACTCCAAATCGGAACAACAACAACAACGCGCTTGTTGCCATTACTTTTTATAAGTATTGCCATTAATTTAACAAACACCAATTTCTCAACATAAGCATCCAATCACCTGCTTCTTTTATTCTTGGACTTGGTGGAAAAATACAGAAAAAGTGCAATTTACGGGCTTTTAAGAAATGCTTTGCCCAGCTTTTACCCGACGGAAACAACGAAAACTTATCCCTACTCCCTTGATTCCACTGTTAGATTAATCTCTGTTTGTTTTGGAGACCGTCGACCAATTGTAAGTCAGAGTGCACTGGAGGAAGATGTTGACGGATGATTAGGGATTTGAGGGACAATTTAGTAATTTGACCATTTCAATTAGGATGATATAGTAAAATTAGGACCACGTTTAGCCATCCAGATGACTAAACGGACGCGAGGGTGAAAAAAAATCAAGGGGTCGTTTGGATGGAAAATTTCTTAATGATGTAATTTTTTTCACAATCACACAATTTAAGAAGCTTAGGTTTTTTATATTTGGAATTTCAGCAAATTCCTTGTTTTTTTGTACATTTGAGTTTCTAATGAAAAATCCGAATTTACCCTTTCTTCCTTCATCTTCCTATCACCATCGTCTTCTTTAAAATTTTTCAAATGACTCACAAACCAGCTCATCGAAAAGCTTCTGAATTCGCCGCTCAAAGCCATTAACATAAGAACCCAGATTGATTGATGAACCCAGAGCCATAACTAATCCTAGAGCCCATTGAATCCTAGACCAAAACTAATCGACTCAGTTGCGGAACTATAATACTAATCGTCACAAGCTACACTTTTCCCTCTAATCTCAACCCCAATATGTACCAAATCCCTAGTCCCCATTCAGTTCGTAATATCCCAACCATAAATGACGACGCCTATCGTATTTATTACAAAGTTCTGGTAACATTTGAAGTTATTGTACATTTTTATGCTGCCAAACACTATACATAAGTACAATGTTAAAAGAGTAAGTAATTAGGTTGCTAACACTTAATTTGCTGTTATAAATTGTACTGCTTACTCAGAATGGAAACTTTAAAGGTGAAGACAAGAACAGGAATGGCAAAACTAGCAGGAATGGTGATATGCTTGGGAGGAGTTGCAGTTCTAGCATTCTACAAAGGCCCCCATTTCAAGTTCTTTTGTCTCTTCAAACACCTCCATCGTCAAAGTCAATACCTTAGTTCCCAACAACTACATCATCCTGATAGTACTTCTTCTCATAGATCATGGGTCAAAGGTTGTTTCTTGATGCTTTTCTCCAACGTCGCCTTTAGCTTTTGGCTTGTCATTCAGGTATCGATTATTGAGGTCTCGATTGTGAAAAGATTTCCTATTTGATCTAATACACGTCATAAACTGTTCGGTCCTAATAATTCGTCTTGTTGGGGGAAATCCCTCCCTTCCATTTTTCATTCATTTGGTGCTGCAGGCAATCCTTATGAAGAGTTACCCATCAAAACTTATGTTCACGACTTTGCAGTGCTTTCTGAGCTCGATCCAATCACTAGTGGTTGCAGTTGCTGCGGAGAGAAATCTCCAGGAGTGGAAGCTTGGGTGGAACATGAGACTTTTTGCTGTGGCTTATTGTGTAAATAATAATTCTAAACTCATTTATCATGTTGCATTTGATTTCTATAATACTCCCTTTAGACTCGTTTGGAGAAAAGAATTTGGATCATGGATCAAAAAGTTATGTTTTATTTTCTACTTTTTGTATTATTGATTTTAGTTTTAGAGATTTTGAATCTCTAAATTCTATAGAGTCCATGTCTCTAATAATTAGAGAGGTTGTATATCATGATTTAATTTTTGAGATTTTTCCCCCTACTTTTCTCTTCTTTTATTTATTTATCCCACTAAATAACCTTAATTATCAATAAATTCTCAATGTTCTTTAGTAACTCTATTCTTTTGGTTAAGGGTAATCATATCATTTGATAAAAAATTAGAATTTTTATTTTTATTGGATGTTAGTAATCGTAGTTGCCAAACAAGTGCAAAAATATAGTAAAGGGGCACGTTTGTTAATTTACTATAGTAGAAGGGTATAAAATGATATTAACCCTGTCAAACAATGAAAAAAATTAAATCATTTTTAACAATAAAGAGAATTAGAATATTTAAGTTTTTTTTTTATAATATGGAGATTTAGACTCCAATTCTCCGATGCCTTAATCTATTAATTTGTGTTCAATCTATGATTGTGTAGGGAGTTGTGGTGACTGGAGTGACATATTACTTGCAAGCATGGATTTTTGAGAAGAAAGATCCAGTATTTCTAGTAGTGCCGACTCCATTGACGTTCATCTTTACAATGTTGTGCTCTGCACTGCTATGCGACTCCATCGCCGTTGGAAGGTACGCATAGTATCTTATTTTTGAAATATCAAGATTTAGTATTTCATGCATGTGTTCATGAAGACTTCAAGTTGTTGCCAATACTTCAAATTTAGAGATACTAATTATTGTCTAGAATTAGTCACTCCCAATAACTTGGGTTGAACCAGAAGTTCGAATGACTATATTCACTTTCCGGAGAGAAAAAAATTGTCAACCCTTCACAAAACCTTGGGTTGCAGGAAGATTCTCACGATGATACAATGATCATCACTTTACGTTCTAGGATAAAGAAATCTAAAGCAAACTTATAAGTTTCCTTGAAGAAGAGGAAACTATTTAATCGTTTGTCGCATCATTTCCACATATTTATAGGTGCCGAATTTGCTCATTATTTCAGGAAAAGTTGTCTTTATTCATAAGGTTGTCCTTATCCATAAAAATGCAAACGGCACTAAATCAAATGGATGTGCCCCTTTATGAAATTAGAATACTTGATTTGGCTGGTCTTAGCCCAAATTAGTTTGATCGATCCAACGCCAAACTAGTTTGACCCGATCAGTCCGATTCAACCAAATATCCAAAAGCTATTGTGTTTAATTTCTTAATCACAGTTTAATAACTAATCCTATAAGACTATCTAATTTTGGGTTGTTTTGTTTGTGGGTTTACTTGTATATATAGTATTTTGGGTGGAGTGCTATTGGCTGGAGGGCTCTATAGTGTTTTATGGGCAAAAATCAAAGAAGAGAAGATGATTAAGATGGATATCAATGAGAAGAAGATTATTCCAAAAGTGGAAGAACAAGACTGCTCAACAGAGCCTAAACAAGTTGTTACAGTTGGTGCCCATACACGAGCCAATGTCACTGTTTAATTGGCTTGTATGATAAATATTCTTCAAATTGTTGACCAAAGGAAAGACATTTCTATCATTCTCAGGCCTAAATGCTAATTGTTTTGCAAGGCAGAGCTATCGATGTTATGATAAACTTATTGAAATAAATATCTTTAGATTATAAAAAGTTCCTTCTTATTTCGCTCTTTGGGCTTAAATATTTTAAACCTTCGCCCTATGGACTCATATATTTAAACTTTCGACCGTACCAAGGGATTACTAGATTCGCTCTCAAATCGCACTAAGATTTGCTATAGTAGTTGCAAATAAGTCTCGTGACGCTGATCAAACAACATTAGCTACGTCTTGTCTCTTAACGAAACCTGACCCCACTGGTATAAAAAGTAATAGAAGAAGCTCTTACTGCTTGTTCATTTTAAAGAACACTGTAACAACCCGACATTCGGGTCTAGGTTCGACCAAACAGTTTGATTGACGGTTACTTACGAAGGTTCAACCGTAAATTAGAAATGACGACAATAATAATTTTATCAACTATCATTATCATTATCACCACCATTCACCCGTTACCCTCCCCATCTCAATTATTCCCATTCCATTAACATTCATAATAATTCCCCACCTGTCCATCTCCTGGCCTCAACGGCCACAATATTAATTCCCCTCCCCATTTTAATCAGAGCAGTAGGAAAAATCCTCACACAAACTCTTCCCACAAATTGTCCTTCCCTACGACCTTGTCCCATCCCTCGCTCTCTCTTGTTTTTCTCCGCGGCAGCAACGTTCGGATGAGAGACAGCAGCTTGGCGTCCACATAAATTTAGTTTCCTCTCATCGTTGAGGTAGCATTTTCGTGGGTAAGGACTCCGACCCTAATTCTTTCTCAACCTCGTATTGCATGGTAGCTAACTGGGTTGTGTTGGCGACATAGTGGGGAGGTGCGAAGGGGGTGTGGAGGAACCGGTTGACCTCGAGACAAGAAAATCCGGCGTTCCGAGCAATCAAATCTAGCTTTAGGCTCATTTTAGCGGTGAGGAATATGATCCCGTCGTTGGAATTCGGCTTATGGATGGATGATTATGAATATATATATATGTGTGTGGGTGTTCTGGAGAATTAGTATCGGGGTTTACAAGGTATTGGTAACAGAATTAGATGGTTGCTAAAGTTGCAGAATTTCCAGAATAGTATTTTTTTTAGTAATTTTATTTATTCGGAGCTTTTGTGGGCTCATAAATTTTAGTTTGATAATTTTTAAAACTGGAGGAAGGTCAGTAGTGCCCTATTAATTAATTCAGGAAATTTTAATGGCTAAATAATATTTTTAATAATTGATTAGCTATGTATTTTAATTAAATAAAATGGTACAAGTTATTTTCGAATGTTTGGATATTTTTTTAACTTTTACTTCTGCTCATGAAGGTAAAATTTTAATTTGGAACTTTAAAAAGGTGTGAGTTAGGTTAAAAATTCATAGAAAGCGAAATTAAGTAAGAAAAGGCTTATTTCTAAAAGGGGTTTTAAACCATCAATTAGATCGTTTAAAAGGGTGGATTGGTTTATAGGATATCGGGTAGTTCGTCAGGAAGGAAATCTTTCAAGCAAAGGGGCGAAGAACCAACTTCTCGAGGTGAGTGTAAAGGGGGCAAAATCTCCGTTGAGGTCTTTTAGTTTATGTCTTTTAATTCAGTTATATTTGTTATTTTTCAAGTAAGCGCGATAATGTGTGTGAGGCATCCCACCGCCTAATTAAGGTGGAGGCACGCGTTGTGCTATGTATGTGATGTATGTATGTAATATGAACCCCCGGGCGGTTGGGCCACTACTGGACGCGGTAGATGGTCGGGTCACTACTGGACGGCGATACGTAACGCAGTAGTTGACCCGGGCATGGACTGGACGGCGATACGTAACGCAGTACCATTGCCTTGAGGATAGGGACACCGGACGACGATACGTAACGCGGTGAACCCTAGAAATAAGTATATAAATTAAGATAGAAGTACAAAACTCCTATAAGCTATCACGGACTAAAATATTAAGGATGAAAGCGAGAACGGCTTTCATGTAAGAGGAAGTAATTTCTAATAATGTGTTAGTAGGGTTTGCTTAGGCAAAGACCTTAGAAAGTAACGACGAGACTGACCCCTTCTCACTCACCAGGTGTGGAAAGGGGAAGAGGGCGTAACCAGCACGAGGAGATTAATCAAGGAGGTCAGTCGCGTCAAGTTTGAAGATGTCGGAAGGATTAGGGTATTGACACGGGACCCTTTTTATCATATTTGTCTTTATTTCTTGCCCTATGAGTATACTGGGAAACTCAAGTTTTCTGTTCAAGTGTTTTGGTTTGAGATTTGCCCAACTATTTAGGGCTTTTAGTTTGAGATTTTTGGTTATTGTCGTTGGTTGATTTTTTGTTTGACTTTAAAACATGGTTTGGGTTGCTCCAGAGTAACCAGTTTTTGTTTTAAAATTTTGGTTTGATTTGTCCAAAAAGATCGGGTAGTTTCAAACATAGTTAGTGTGATTATACATAAAAAGGTATACATTTGATCTGTTCCCTAACTCGGGAAATAGATTTAGGAAAGGGTGCATAATGTTATGCACCCTTCGTAGCTAGATTTGGGCCCTTAGTTTTGACTTTTGAGTAGAGGTGGCAATTAGGATCAGAATCCATGAATCCAATCCAATTCATACACTAAATTATCCACCTAATTCAATCCATTTAAATCCATCCATTTGATCCAATTCCAATTTGATGGGTGGATTCATGGATTGATCCATGAATCTAAATGGAAAATTACGGTTTGGTACCTATAATTTGTATACCTTACATTTTGGTACCTAAAATTTATATTTTTATACAAAATATCATTGGAAAATTATGTTCTGGTACCTAAATATTTTCATTATGACATTTTAGTACCTAAACTTTTCAAATTTCACATTGTGGTCCAAGACTTAGATGTCATTTGGATTCATGGATCAATCCATTTGATCCATGGATCCATGAATCCAATCCATTTGCCACCTCTAGTTTTCAGTGGGGTCAAAAGGGTCAAGATCTAAGGAGTGAGACTTAATGACTTTTTATTTTCACTAGTTTTTTGTATCGACTCTTATCTTATTCGTTCTAAGTTGGATTGGATTTTTTTTTGCACAAATGGAACGAGTTTGTTGTTATCTACAAAATGAGATCCATATTAAATATTTCTCAAGAAATTTTTTCCATACCAGTCGTAATTATCACTTGATACCACTTTCATTTTTAACTCGAATTTTTGAATGATTTTTAGGATGACAAGTGACATGGCGTGTTGGCTAATGGTCAATGGTGTTGATCGTACAAATTGACGGTCAAACCATGTGTCGGGCTAATTGAGTCTATATGCTGCATAGTTGAGGCCAAAATGTTAATTTCTGAAATCACGGACCAAAGTTGATTATATGGTCATAGTTCGAGCCAAAATAAGGTATTAACCCTTGGTTTAATATTAGTGAGACACATTATTGTAACTCTTTGTCGTCGCAATTGGTCGTCGATAAGAACAAGTTGAAGGAAGTAGTGGAATAGATTTGGCGCTAGATGTAGGGGTGCTCAAATGGTTACCATGGTTATTACCAAACCAAATAAGGCTAAATTTCATTAACCATGGAATACAATATCATAACCAAACCGTCCAAACTAATACAACAACCAAATTAATGTTTAATCGGTTTGGTTAATTGGTTAACCAGATTAACCAATATAAAATCACATTATCATTAAGTGAGAAAATTTTCGGTTAATTTATCAATTCACAATTTATATAATGAATAAAACATAAAAATCAACACATAGTTATAGTTGACCCTTAACATAAATACATGCAACTAGGACAATTATCTTACGGTTAGTATAGAAGTATTCAACAAAAATTTATCACAATGGTATAGGTTAATGAATTGTTATGTTTGTTTGAATTGACTTAGTCTTTTAGCAATTTTCATAGGCTGAAAAAGGACCTTGATTTCAAGTTTTCATCCAATATAATGTATGAGATTTATCAAAATTAGGCGTTCATATGTTGTGGTCTACACTCTACATATACAAATATACATTATAGGAACAATATCAAGTTTTATATTTTATGAGTCTAAAAGGGATGAACGTTTAACTCTTGAGTGGTTAT